GGTTACGGCACACACCACGCCTGACTTCAACAGCAACTGTGTTTACATCTAGTCTGCCCTGGCAGTAATGCTCTGACTAAATTCACTGCTAAGTCTCAGCCTCAAAGACCTGCACTGCAACCCCACAATATGGAGAAATAAAAAATAAATTAGGGGAAAAAAAAGAAAAAAAAAAAAAAAAAATAAGACACGCTGCCCAGAAAGCTTATGTTGTCTCCATCCATGGATATACATCCCAAGTGACCCGCTCTGGGTGACCTGCTTGCACTAGGGTGGACAAGGCGCACTCCAGCAGTCCCTCCAGCCTCCACGGTTCTGCGATTCTATAGGGTTCAATGATTCTATACAGTAAATAAACCAACAGCCAGCTAAACATGATGTAAGGATGGAGAAATAACTGAAAATGAAACAATCCCTCCTTAAATGTTTTTCTTCCCCCAAAAGAGAGTTTTGTACTTACCAAAATGTCTTACCTTAACCACTATTTCTCAGATTCTTAGAAATGTTACCAGATCCCTTTAATGTATAGTATTCAATGTATAAGCACTACTGATTATCGATTCTGGATACAAGTTAATTGCAAGTCCTGTAACATTACAGGTAAGCTGGTCTAATGCTGGTATCATCCACATTTTTACAAGCACATACAAATCGAGCCAGAAGTTCAATGCCTATCCACTGGATGTCATGGCTGCTAAATGCCAATACCCTCCTGAAGTTTCAGTTCCCTGAAAAGAATGACTTGAACTGCAACATCCTCTGTGGGTCCCTGAATCCCTGTTAAGTCCTGTTGAGAAGTATTACTTGCTTTCCATCCTTTAATCAGCCTTATTCTTGTAACTTTCCTCTCAGCTTTCTTCTGTCCTGAATTTCCAGAGTAAGAATGATAAACAGTGGTATCAAATCAACATAAAACTATTTCCTATTATAATCAACCTATTAGATTCAGGTAGTAAAGTTGCTTAAGTTCAGTATTACACTGATGTTATGATTTACCCACCATTATCTACACTATTTTCCCAAAGCTGCTGCTTCAAAAACACAGATTTCCATACAGTAAATAGGATCTACATGTTTAACTGGAGACATATCATAGGCAGAATATTAGATACTGTTCTGCCTCAACTAGAGATCTGATCATTGATGATGGGGTGTTTTGCTTCATGCCAAACTTCTAAAATAAACAAACAGATGGACAATTGTGCGCATATATACAGAAGAAGCAGAGGGGAAAATCTAATCAGTGCACTACCTTACCCCTAGATGAGCTTTACTGTGCAGTTTTGCGTGAGAGGAAACAAATAAAAACACCTCACACATCTATTAACTACTAGCTAGCCAGTTTCCTCATTCTATCACAACTCATGTGAATACATAAGAGCTTATACTTTGCCTCAGTTAAGATATTATAATACATGAGAACTATTAAGAAATCAAGCTTCCGCACGTATACCATTCTGTATAGCAATTAACAAATACAAAAAAAATTCAGTGACTTCTAGCTTAAGCCCTAGTATTCAATGGTATGAAGGTACCTTACAAAGAAGTTGCAAAGATAACATATCAAACCTGTTTGCTCTTCCGGTATAGATGCATAGAAAATAAAACTATGTTGATTACTGGTAATTACTCTCCAATTCAAGTGCACATTAGCCATTCCATTAATCTCATCATTGAGAGGAAAAAAATGAAGTCAAACACTTGACATCTGGAAAATCTGGAGAAGCTGATCATCTTCAAGTTCCATTTCAGACAAAATGGCCAATTATTACCTTCAGGACAACACTGAAGAGGAACTAACACTGCTAATGAGAACCAGTATGCATAAAAAATTACTTAACGGAAACAGGTAGCCAGAAACAAAAACCTTGGACATCACGCAGCTAGAGAGGAGAACAGTAAAAATTCATTGTTCAAGTTTTCTTGTGATCTGGCTTTTTAGTTTGTTCATGTTACCTTGCAAAGTAAGTAACATTATAAAGAAATCTACAGATGCTGTAACTGATGATACCGTGAGACACAGGCGAGTGCTACAAGCCCATCTGTAGAATGGTTATTGCTAGTACCAGAATGCCAAAGCATGTTAATGGACATCTCCGTGTTAGGTCATTGACCTCTTACGAAACCAACCAACCCCAAAGTCTCCCCATCCCCAACTATTTTGGGCTGTTAATACATACCTCCGTACAAAAAATTAATTTATTTCACTAAGAGGAAAATACAGAACACTTAGGATAAAGACTTAATATTACTTCTTCAGAAGTTCTGTCCTTACAGTGAATTCAGAAGTCTACAAGACAGCTAAAAACAGTGACTGCGGCCCTTCAGTAAGATGGAGAAAAAGCAAACACTCTGTATCATCAACTAAATATTGACTTGATTGTAAAACAAATGCTATAGAAGAAAGTATGGTTTTTTTGAAGTTGGTATATGTTTAACACTTCAGGCCAGAAACAAGTACAGTTCAAAGTTCAACTCCGAAACAATTACAGCAGTTCAAGTTGTCACTGTGATATTAGTCCTTTTCCTCCCACTGCAACAGTCTCTAGTCCCAGTATGTCAGGACTTTTGCTTACTAGCTCCTTCTCTTGCTAGTCTATCAGCTTCTTCATTTCCTTGGAAGCCAGCATGACCAGGAATATGCATCTGTTAGGACAAAAGTATGGGACCATTAGATACGCAAGAAATACAAGGAAAAAAGTACATACATGAAATTTGATCACACAACACCCTTTTATTTGTAGTACAGTAGCACCTCCTTAGAAGCCCTCTCCTCACATTAGTCCTTATGTGTTCTTCCCAGGAATGTTCATAATCTCCCTTCCTCTAGGAAAGTCTTGCCAAATTGTGCAAATCATCCTTATGGGAAGTAGTGAACTGGATAAGGACCACCTAACCTAGCCTTTAAGAAATGCAGACGACAGCTGCAACTCAAAATTCCCACTTTCAGAGAAGAAAGAAAAACCTATCTGCATTCAGTGCTTAAACCAAGTTAATCTCTTCCCAGAAGGCCAAGGACCTCTATACCACTAACAGCCTTGGTGGTTACAGCACTCACTTAGGATACAGAAACAGGGTATGAAAAGAATCTCTCAATTTTCAGATGTCTTAACTGTCCATCCTTCAATTAGGAATCAAAAACACTTTCAACCCTAAGCCCACCCCTGTCAGAAGTAAAGGTGGAGGAGTGTGGGAGAGGAAGAAAATCAAGCTTGCTATTTGACAAGATCTGAGAGGGGACAAGCATGAAGCGTGTGCGAGATGATACTAGGTTTACACGGGATGGCCTCTGTGAGAAGACACCAGGGGCTGCCCCTGCATTGGAGAGAGTCAGTTCCAGCCGGCTCCAAAATGGACCCACTGCAGGACACAGCTGAGCCCATCAGCAAAGCTGGTGGTTCCTCTGTGATAACATTTTTAAGAAAGGGTAAAAATGTTGCACAGCAGCCGGAGAGAGGAGTGAGCATATGTGAGAGAAACAACTCTCCAGGCACCAAGGTCAGTGAAGAAGGAGGGGGAGGAGGTGCTCCAGGCGCCGGATCAGAGATTCCCCTGCAGCCCGTGGTGAAGACCGTGGTGAGGCAGGCTGTCCCCCTGCAACCCATGGAGGTTAACAGTGGAGCAGACATCCACCTGCAGCCCGTGGAGGACCACACACCTCAGCAGGCAGATTACTGTAATAAAATGTATGCATACATTGCTCCTCCTGAAATTAAAATCCTCCCAAGTTTAAGAGATTCAGGTGTAAGAAGTGAGCATAAAGCAACGATTTTTTTTTTTTTTTATTATGTAAAATACTCTAAGACAGCTGAACTTTGGTCTTAGTTTTAGACTTTTACACTTTCTTCTCATCAATAGACAATAGCAGTAGTTACATAGAATCTATTCAGCCTTTGAATTGGAGTTGCCGACTCCAGAACACCGAACAACATGAATGGAAGAATATCTGCAATAGATTTCCCATAGAAAAAGTGCACACTAAAGATCTACGTCATCCTGTTTTCTGTAGAGTAAAGACAGAAGCCCAATAAATATGCCATTAGTAGCTACGAAGTCAATGGCACAGAGATTTATTTCTAGAATCAGTAGTCTTATACTACAATTAGAGTAAAATTTAGAAGGAGGGGAGGGAAGATATCCCCTACAATGTTTAGCACTGATGTTACAGGTTACAGAAAAAAACATTTTACCAGGAATACCTATATAGAAGTTATTTTACTTCTTTACTGGAAAGCGAAACAATTTAAAACTTAAAAATGGGTATTTTAAAGACCTTTCTGTGCCCAGTTTTCTTGGAAAAAACACAGGTAAGGTACAGAAAATCAGATTTAGTTTATTTGGGGTTATATGTTCTTAGTTTTCCCAGTTTAAAGACACTCATGTGATTTAGTTATACCAACGAACCAGCATCTTAAGAGTTCTGAAAAGCAAATCCAGAAATTCAGCTATGACTCAAAAAGACACAGTTATGTTTTAAGCTTAGATTTCCAAGCAATTTCACCTACTAACAGTACTAACAAACTAAAAATAATCATTGCAGGCATTTTCTAAGTAGTAACAAGAGACAGAAAACAAATATAAACATGCATTTTAATAATTGAAATACCAGTTCCAAGAGCCTAGGTTATGTTGCTTATTTGCTTTAAATAAAACAAGCAGCTTCTCTGTATTTATGGTTTTACTTACGGATGTACAATATTATGCTCTATAAAATTCTCAGTTATGGTCCTACCTGTAAGTTTTTACAAGAAGCATGTTTAAGATGTCATTAAAAATAAGAAATGAGGTGCTTACCCACTGAATTTCTATGCCTTTTGATAGATTATCAAGTCTTTCAAAATCTTCTTTATTTATTACACTTCCTCCTGAACTTGTTCTCCAGCCATTTGTTTTCCAGTTGTCAACCCAGCTCGTAATACCTATGCAAAGGGAGCATTACCATAAAAATGCTATTAAAGAAGCCAGCAAGGATCAAGATGGAGCAAAACAGCCTTTTAACAAGACATTAACTCCATAACAAAGTCTCAGGTAAAGACACCGGAGATAGAAGATATTCTTGTTTGGTTCTCTCCTACCGACTTTCAGGATTGTATTTTTCCATTATTAATTGAATTACCCGACCATGTTTTCCCAAACAGATATTTAATTTAAAGACTACAATCTTATATACGCATTACACACAAAATTATGACATGAACTTCAATAAACTGAAGCTAAGGATTTGCTTGATGGCACAGTAAGCTAGAACAAATCTGCAACTTTATTTGTTTTGAGAAATTGAGGAGACACACATGCATAGAGGAAAAACAGATGGCCACCTGTCTTATGGCTTCTGCACACTAAACAGAATCCTTCAGAGAAGGACCACATAAGCAGATTTCTACAGAACAAGATTGAACATTCTGGCCATCCCCTGCTGGCCAGAAAATTTACTATATTACTCCTTAAATAAGAATTGATTGATTTTTTTTTTTTTTTTAAATATCTTTGCTGGTCTTGACAATGTAAGACTGTCCTGGTTTCGGCTGGG